GCCAAATGTGGTTGTGGTCTAGTTTGTGTTTGTGTCTCACAATGTAAAATACAATAAGTACAATCGTAACACAAATGGCTCGACCGAGAGTCCTTATTGTTTGTTTAGTGGTCACAGTGACATTCAAATTTATGTTTAGACTGCACCGAACTTACTGGTCAAGTTCTAAAATGAAGCGGTGCATACTTTTGAATCCACTGTCTGTATCTGCAAGCATAAAATAAAACCTCGATGTGATGCCACTTATGCTGAAAGTGTGAAAGTGTGTTTGTGTGTCTCCAAGTAGTGAGATTCTTATAAATCCCCATAAAGACTTGTCAAGTTCTCCTTTTCTCAGGCTGTGAGACATCTCTATTAAGAATAGCACGTATTAATTTTTAGTCAGGTTTGCTTTTGCTTGCTGGCAGACATTCAAAAGCGATGAAGAAATGGTGGGAATGGAGAGAAAAGCAGAGGAGAGGTCATGATATTGTTAACAGACTTCCAAAATGTGGTCAGCACAGACTGCCTGGTCAGCTCTTTCCTTCTCCCTCTCCTCAGTCCCAACCCACACCTGATGATCGTCGCTTGTAACTTCTAAGTAACCCATTATACAGCACGCCGCAAGCGGTTAAATATAAAGGTGACCAGACTGATCCCACAGCTGTAATCATTTAGCACACATGCACACTTACTAACATCATCATCACCATGCTTTTTTCTGGAAAAGGCTGTGACGCTGTAGGGATTTCAGATGAGTCACAGCAGCACTGTTAAGTTACCAGAGCACAGAATTTCCCAAAATCAACAGAAGGGGCTGACTCAGACACAGCAGTCTGCTCCAATTCCCAAAACAGGACACATGCACTAGCCTGCAGCCTACCACTACTCCACATAAGGGTAAAAGCTCTTTCTTTAGATGTCAGATCTATTTAGCTATAATATAAGGCGAGATAAGCTACAACTATAAATATGTAATATAACCGAACCACAAGGTGAGGGCACGAACCAGTGTACTCGTAGTGGGCCGTCCCAAGTCCTGATAAATGTGACGGCTGCATCAGGAAGGGCACCTGGAATATAATCTTTGCCTAATCAAACATCAAGAATGTAATTTCCATACTTGATTGGAAAGGGCCTGCGTTAACAACAATAGCCCCTGGTACTGTTAGCTAAGTGGGTGCCAGTGGAAACTGTGGTACTGTTGGCCGAAGACAAAGAAAGAAGAGAGGGGGAAGGCGTGTTTGAAGGCAGCAAGAAAGACGGAAAGGCAGGAGTGAGGTGGTTTGAGTAGGAATTTTAAATGCAGGAACTATGACGGGTAAAGGGAGAGAACTGGCCGACATGATGGATACGATAATACGTGCAAGAGACCAGATGGAGGGGAAGGAAAACCAGAAGAAACAGAGGTTGATTCCAACTGTTCTACCAGGGTGTAGATAGGAAGTGAAATGAAGGAGGAAAGAAATTTCAAGTGAAAGTATGTGAAGAGTGTTGTTGAGGTGGAGAGTCAGAAATTTAAACTGATCAAGCTGAAGGCGTGGTGTTGAGTGTAATCCCACAGGCTGGATGTCCGTTAAAAGAGCACAAGGAATTCTGAAGTAGACTGAATAAAGTGATATAGAGTATTACCAGAAGGGAACAGAAATGATGAAAAGGAGATTCCATGGAGAAATGAGGACATGCAATCAAGTATTCAGATTAGCAAAGAAAAAGTCAAAGGGGAGTGGTTGGATAGATGAAGAAAGCAGGAGTATTGGAGGGCTAGTCATCCAGCAAAGAAAGAGGTGGTAAAAGCAAAGGAAAAGGTTTATAGTGAGTTGTATGTAAGACTAGAAACTAAGGAAGGAGAACAGGACTTGTTCTGAGTGGCTTTTGGGCTGGAAAGGATGTGCAGCATGCTAGGATGATTACGGATACAGATGAAAATAAGATGCAATGAAAACAACCCACAGTTGAATCCTGTTGAGTCTTGATGTTGCACAGTTGGGCACTAGAGGGTACAAGGCAACTTTGGGCATTGCAGGTTTGGTACGCTAAAAAGGTAACGATCTGATCGAAGTAGAGTCAGGCAGAGTGTAAACAAGTAAACAACTTGTGACAATAAAACAATTTATTTTTTAACTGCACTGCCATAATGTCTTAGTAAGGACTGATTAATCGCTACACACGGCAGATGTTAGAAAAAGTTTTTTACATGACTGAAATAAAAGGATAAATAAGTGGATTTTAAAAACACTAAATATGCATATATCAATCTTTTTAAAAAAAACCTGAAGTAAAAGCCAAGATATTTGTCACGTTTGCTGAAAATGTTTTTCAAAGTCTAATAAAGATGGATATAGATACCTATATCCATCTTTATGTGATTTAAAAACAGTAGTTAGTGTATTATTTTTCATCTGCATTACTTATTAAATCGTTAGAGTAATTATCCAGCACCCATCTAACTGCCAAATGATTATGAAGAGATAGCTGATGAAGAAGCTGAGTGTTAAGTTTCAAACTAAAATATCAATCCAATATTAAAACATCATTACTGTTACACACACACACACACACACACACGCTGCATTATCTGTGTCACCAAGTCTGCTGATCGTCCCTATTTAGAAATACTTGCTTGGCACTATAATCCAGGGTGACATCATGGTAGTAACATATGACTGACACCAAAGACAGCGCAGAGGCTGGATCAATTAC